ATAATAGTAGTAAGGTTTTCATTATTGAACAGGTTAGAATCATTAAGATTAACCTATGCATATAACAAAACATTAGCCATTTTTATTTAATTAATTGTAAATAAGCATACTGTAAATTCTCGAAATAATGCCCATGCCTTTATTTCAAGAATTTATAGTATCATATATTACTTACTGAGTTATAAACATTTATTTCATTTTTACTAACACGGCTCGCATGATAATGAAGGGCTTGAATTATTTGATCTTCTTGAATCTTTCGTGCCTCTTCTGTTAAATACTTTTTTAACAATTAACAAACGTTTGGTAGTATCATTTCTGCAGTTGAAAATAAAGTGACTCTGGGGACTGAGGCACGAAAAAGAGAATATTCTGTTTTTATGTCTTCTTCATGTATACATGTTGACAACACATCCACAAGCCTCAAAAGTGTTGTATTTGTATTAAAAATTAAGTGCTTTATTTTTGCATTGTAGCTTTCCACTCGAGAAGTTGAGGACATCCCAGCTGTAAATGAAGTTAAGACGAAAGCTTTTGCCCAAGTTTCTTTGTTTGAATAAAGAGCTCGTTGTAAATAACTAACGATCTTATTATTACTATATTTGTTAACCAATTGTGTCTATTTATACTCAAAAATAACCTCATGGTGATTTTTGCATTTCGTAGAAATTCTGAATAAATTCATTATATTGATCTCCAAGGCAGCTTTTAAGATTTGAAAAAAGATTTTGAGAGATATGAAACATACAATGAAGAGATTTTGTTGTAGGAAACTCATCACAAATTGCCGCAGAAACAGCTAGATCCGCATCAGTAAAAATCACACGTGGAACAGCATTACGTGTGGCATTCTTTATATTCTGAAAAATCCAGCTATGATATTCCATCATTTCATCATCTATGAGTGCTTGCACCACCATATGTGAGTGTAGATGATTGTCAACAATTAAAAAAATTGATAGTGCCATTTCATAACGGTTTGTTGCTGCTGTGCAATTATTAAAAACAATATCATTAAATTTCAACCAGAGTTCAATCTGCTTAGGTGACATATAAAATAACCGGCGAAGACACTTAGTATTAGGATCCTAGTCCACTGCCACATACCAACATAGATTTTTTTTTTCTTTTTCAACAATTCCTTATACAAACAAGCTGCATCATTGGTTTGATCACGTAACTTTGGATGGAAGCGCTGTATTTCTCATCGTAGCACAGGCATGTAAATTGTATGCTCTGGATAACTTTCTTCTAAAGCCTTACGGATCTGTTGGGGACTGCAATTCATCTTTTTCATATAAAATTTGATGTCCTTAAGCATTTTTTCACTAAACTTAAGAGACTCTTGAAAGGTACGGTATGGTGGGTTAAGCTCATGATTTTTATGCATATCAACTATTTTTGTGACATAAATAAGCCTATGCGGATTTTCTTTTTCTGGGCAAGAAATATTTATTTGCCAGGTACACCTTATACGTTTAGATGTAGTTTTATTTTGCGGGTTCTTACTTTTCGTTTGTTTAGGACGACCAAAGTGTTCACACACTATCGTGTGTCGCCGAACATCACCATTTTCTAATTTTTCTATGCGAAGACGCCTAGTCCCAAATCCTTTATTAGAAATGCAAAAAAAAATTTGTTATTGCTACTTTATGCTTTGTATCGTAGATAATTACATTCATACCTTTACGATGTGTATATTTCTCAATTTCTTCCATAGCAACATCCCAACTATTAAAAACCTTTTGTATTTCATAATCATCATTCACATCTTCAGTAATGTTTTCTTCAGGCTCATAATTACGGTATTCATCCCTGCCACTGTCATGTTCATTCATACTATTATGTTCATTCATATTATCATGTTCATCCATACCATCATGTTCGTTCAAACTACTATATTTGTGCCCATTACCATATTTGTGCCCAATACCATATTCGTGCC